GCTCCGCCAGAATGGTTCCTTTCCGCTCCAGTCAGGGTGGTGTCTGTCAGACGCCACTCGACCCACGATTAAACTCTAACAGACGCGACTTATCAAGGGTTAAATTCAATAACTAGATGATTAGACTCCAAATGGGATTTATCCCAGGCATTTCTCGAACCTTTTAACTTTCTTAAAACCTTGGAAATGTCGAGGGCGTCTAACAGACGCCTTGAGAATTTTATTTCGTTGATGAGCGTAATTGAAAAGCAAGTTTGTCTTTGATGGTCCGTCTACCTCTATCCATACTCCGCCAGAATGCTTCCTTTTCCCTTCCAGTCCTGGTGGTGTCTGTCAGACGCCACGCGACCCACGATTAAACTCTCACAGAAGCGACTTATCAAAGGTTAAATTCAGTAAACCAAGAACTCATGTAAAGCTCGATTGTTTCATTGAAAAATTCTAATAATAACATTTTTTTAATAATTAATAATTTTTTAAGTTTTTTTTAATGGACAGATTAATTATTTTTGTAGTTCATCTTAAATTTTGATCTATTGAATGTAATATATATATATATATATATATATATATATATAAGCCTTCTTGAAAAAAGAAACTCCGTGATGTATTATAGAAATTGCATTTGAAACGTGACTCGCCTGAGAGTATTCCAAAACGGTTTTGCTGATCGGTATCAAATATCATATTACAGCGTGATTGCTGTTACTTGCAGACCGGAACAACAACCTCAGTCGGGCTTTTTAATGGTGTTTACACAGGCTGTGAGCGAAAGCAATTTAATGCTTCAAACACATTCTTGGTAGCTCCACGCAGATTTCGTAGAAAACACCGCAGATTCCAGATATTTTATCAGCGGAAATGAACGGTTTCTGTAAAGTTATGATTGAAAAGGGGATATTTTGAGTTGGAGCATCAATCTTGAAACTTTTAACCCCTTCTTGATCGGCGTCGCATGTCGTACGTTCGGCTCTTTTGTGCCCGTACTCTATTTAAATCCATAATTAAGTCAAGACAACAATTAATTTTAGATACAATAATCCCCTGGTCACCCTAAATGTCTCAAGTATCCTTTACCATCTTAAATAGATTGAAATAATAAAAAATATATCAATTGGGTGGTGGCATTTAATAAAGAGGTTAAATAAAAACGTAAGGTGTAAGGACATTGGTGTGTTCTGTGATTATAAAATAAATGTCATCATTAAAAGTAGGTAAAAGCATGTGGTTAATTATTTCTGTTCTAAACACATTAATTCAGACTTTGCTTTTTATCTACTTACTAGAAAATCGTAAATTGCCTCTTCATTGGAGAGATTTCCCGTCAAATTTGCCGTGTTTAAATTGATATATATGCGGGAGAAATGTTTAACATTGATTGAAAACAAATAAAATAAACATGTTTTATGACAGGAAATATTTTTTTATTTACATATTTCTTTATTAAAAAAACCTCTTGGTAAACAATATTCCGTGTGAAGTACTTTTCGTTGTTTAACAATTTTTCTTGTACTTCAGATGGAAGTACAAGGAAAAAATAAAAAATTAACCTTGCCAAAAAATATTATCAAATTATATCATCACGATTGCAATAAATAATCAGATGCATCGTGGCTTGCAAACTATATAACGCGCAAGATATACCACTGACGTAATTTACTACTTTCTATTAAAAAACGGAAATTAATTTGAAATACATGTTTAATATAATTAAAATTTCTCGGGAACTATTAATCATACATTTGATTGGGATAAATTTTATATCAATCGATAGAAAATTTTATTTCACTATTTTAGAGCTATTAAATTTGAAATTAGAACGACAATTACTCTTTTAAATTTAAAATTACTGAAATTCAGGTTCTCTAACAATTAAATAATGCTGTTTAACGTCTCGCAGTGCTATGGCGCGAGCGTTATTGTTGGTGACGTCAGAGTGTTACCTAGCGACAGATCTGGGCTATTATATTAGTAATATACGGTATTTTAAATTATTTCTATTGAAAGTTAGATTACTCATATAATCCGTAGTAGATCTAATTTTCCATTAATCACAAAATAATGACGCTTCGGCCTTTCGAAAATTATCTTACTACCCGCACCTCTAATTGCACCTCATTTCCATTCTTTCTGCTCAAACAGCCTCTTTTTGTCTTCATTCGTTGACGAATTATTGATTTTTAAAGTTGCTTCGAACTTTTGAATCACCCTGCATGTAGAAAAAACTTTTTTCGTTATTTTTCCAGATTAATTTTTAATCGTCTGTCTTTCAACTTTGGTTTTTAGAGTTTAATGTTCTGGCAACAAATCGTTTTAGCTTTTGGTTCGTGATGTCGTTTACGTACGTGTTATGTGTATCGTTGTTTACTTAAAGTAAAATAAATTTGCGTTTGTGATACGAAGCGATTTATTACTGAACCCGGCTTTAATATAAAGATATTTGACAATGCATTTTGGTGCATCGGCCGGGAATTTGCACAGTATTTATATGTATAATAAAACGTTTATCAGGAATAAACAAAAATACAGATAAAATTGTTTATTTTATAACATCGTCACCAAATGCACAATAAGTTAAAATGATTTACAAATGATTTTGGGCTATTCAAAGACATCAAGATGTATAATACAGCACCAGATATACGCATACAGATTAAAGATACTTCCTAATATACTACTGACAAAACAAAGTAGTCTTTCTATTAAAAAATACATAAGAAATTTAGTGCACTGTCTTATTCTTAGATGCATAATTAAATAATAATTCCTGAATTAAATTTATTCAGCTCTTAATAATTAACAGCGTATTACA